GGGGGGATTTAATGATCATCTAACACAACAATGTTACTTCTGCTACGGTACTATAAAAGTGAACCGAGATAAGTCCACCCAGGGTTGTATTCTTCCCATTTTAGAATACTTCTAGGGTGAAGATCTCTTTGAAACTGTCAGTATAAAAATTAATTCTCAAAAAATCAATTTGACAGATTACTATGCAAAGCCTACGGATCGGATTAACAAGTAAATATCCTCTTTGGAAAGTGGCGGCACAGAGTTCCCCTCGTCGTATGGATACGATAGTAAAACTGGACGTACGGATAGGATTTTTAAAAAAATTATCCTTTGCTAAATTCAAATTTTGTGAAATCAGAGAAACTTAAAAGTGTGTTTTGAGCCTGTATTTTAGTGCATCAACATAATTTTGTTTTGTGGAATGGGCTCGTATGGTATACCAAATGAACTCAGAATTATGCCTCTACAATGAACAATTTAAGATACGGTCGTATAGTTTCAAACAGATTTGAAAACAGTGCAGCCACGAAATAGGCCTACAATGTAAAAACTAGAATCGACATTGAATTCGGTGTACATTGGTATATTGTAGCCTATCTGAACCATTGGCTCTCTGTAGAACATGAACCTTTCTGCGCCTTGATTGTCGTTAGACTACGTTTGACATACCCAAATGAATACCTATCATTAGACTCTCAGCCCGAGACGCACTGTAATAGTAATCATATCTAGGCCAACACTTTATGAATCTTTGACAAAGGCAAATGAGTATCAGAACCCGTGGTCATATTATCTCAAGTTTTTATCAGTCCCAAGCTCTATCAGACTTCGTCCATGTACAAAGTCAGCCTTGGAACATTGTAAACCACAGTTGACGTGACGGGAAACCCAGCCTCATGCACTTACACATTCACTTTAACTCATTGGGGAAGCACATTATCTGGATTGAAGTTGTACTGCTTTGGGGCACTTGAAATAAAAAGCATAACTTTTTTTCAGTTCTCTTTCTTTATCTGAAACTTTGAAAATGTAAAAGCCAGGCAACAACACGCATGCTATGCAAATTTGTATTTCTGAATTGTGAAGTAAGGTTTGAAATGTGCCTTAACATTGCCTGCGATCTGCTGCTGGTTGGATAATAATGTTATCTGTCCACCATGTCCTTAAAGAGTTAAACGTATTAACTTCCCTGTTATTTGGACTATCTCGCAGGTAGCCAATAGTTATCGTGTTCGAGACTCTCCTTGAATAAACATTCAACAAAGCTAAAAAAAAAGTTTAATTAAGTCAACACTGCCGCTAACCAAGCCAAAGTTTAGAAAACGAATTTCCCCTAAAGCCAGGGTGTTTCCTCAAGGATATGAAGTGTTATTAAATCAAGGGAATAATTCATAACTATTTGTGGATCAAACTATACTTTTCTTGATTTGTTGCGATGACATTATTCGTCAGCTAATTTTGAGGAGTTTTAGTCATTGTTTTGTGTGATCTGCTACAACATGGCATTCAGAAACTGGGTAAGTAGGAGACGCGGGAACTGTACATAATATTAGTTATCAATCCATTTATTTAAGACAAAGCCAGACACATTTACAGAGATGATAAGTCACATAATGTAGTGACCAGAGATCGAAAACCCCTTAGTTATGTCGCATACGAGGCCTGATCGGAATGATTTATAAGAATGGGTGAACTTAAGGACTTTGTTTATTTTCTATTCCTGTATTCTATTTGCTTTTTTCAGGTGCTTCATTAAAAGAGCAGCATACAAACAGCATCTTCTCAATTATCTCTCTTTGAAAGAAAAAAAAAACCCTTCATTTTTTGCCCACAAATCTAATCCACACTTCCAATGTTCATATTTCATACGTAACCATACTAGAATGATTAATTCCCATCAGGCTGCTGAGTCTTTGAAAGATCTAGGCCTACGATTCAGTTTTCACGTGTTAACAAATTATTGGAGGAGGAGCTAATTATTGGAGGAGGAGGAGGAGGAGGA